TTGTTCGTCTCTCTCTCTCTCTCTCTCTCTCTCTCTCTCTCTCTCTCTCATTTTTGTCGCGTTTCATTTAATTCTAATCCGAGAAGGATAGTCATAATGGAAAATCTATTCTTTTTTTATCATACAGATTTTCATTTGCTAAAAATGACAAAGAGCAAATGCTATGAGGAACAACATCCATTACATGCGGTCTTCGTTCAATTGACAAGCTTGACTATAATTGCACTCATTAGAATATAATTTAATGATCAGGATCAAATGCCATTGTATCTTTGATATATCGTTTGTTTTTGATAATTTCTACATCGACAAGTGAGAAACGACAAGTGTGAACGTCCAATTGAATGCGATACCCTGACGCAAATTTCTTACATGAAAACGGGGAATCAAAGATTTAGAATCCGTGATGGAATACGAGCGGAGCATTTGGGAAAAGACGGTTAATGAGATAAGAGAAGCGGATGTAGGATCGATAATAACAAGGGAGCATTTTTATAACGACGAGAATCGGCATCGAGCGCCTTCTCCTGGGGGACAGAAGCGAGACGTTTCCTCGTCGCTCGCGTTCGCGTCGCGTACCCTGCCGCGTTTCGTCCCCTCGGCGCCGGGGTCGTGGGCAGGGGTAGACTTAATTATCTAATTAATTAACCTCAATCAGAACGATGAGTAATTTCTCGGTCGGGTGGCGCCTTTGCCGCTGAGACTTTCTCGTCGCGTTGACTGCGGGGAGCGAATTACGGATGAGCTCACGGCAAATCGATTATGTCCCGATGCTGTCGCCCCGAAAACGGCGTGTCTCCGCTGTAGTAGTTCACACACAAGAGAGGGTGAGCTCCTCCCTCCCCCCCCCCCCCCCCGGCCAGGATCCACGATCCTCCGGCGATATCCTGCTCTAGGTGGCCGACCAATTTTCCTCCCCCGTAAAGGCTCGCCCGCCTTTATCTTTGGCGCTTACGCCGATCGTACGATAACTCGCTCGTGAAGGGCGATCGTGGTCGTTCGTCCTTCGTGCGGAATTCACGGTTGAAGCTTGGGTTGAATTTGGGGGATTTTGGATAAGGAAGATAAATGAATGTCCTTGCGAATCACGCGGCTGACCTTTACTTTGATTATATTCTCATGAAAGGTGTTTATAAAGAAGAAAATAACGATAACGTTATAATTTTAAGACATGGATTACAATTACATGAGCCGTCTCGAAAATGAGTATTTCAAATATCGAAATCATATACTGCCAATATCGCGTTTATTTAACGATTTAAATTCCTGAACAAACTGATTTCCCCTCGCAAAATAATAACGACCCTTTCGCGGCGGGCTCTCCATTTCTATTCTGGATATTCCAGGTCGCTTCTCAATCCCGTCTTTTCTTTCTGACAAAAGCACCCCCGAAGCCTACCATCCAGCTGTACTCTGCGCGGCAGCACCGCCCCCGATGTGTAACTGACGTTTTTGACGCGTCAAGTGGTTCTATCGCGCTTCCACCTCGAGGGTGTCGCCGCGTTTATCGGCTACTGTTTTACATAAACATACCCGGGAGGGTGACGGTTCGGCGAGAGTGGAATTGTGGACGTCGCGCGTTACGACAGAACGGCAAAACGCGTCGCGGAGATTCCTCTAAGTGATCTCAAGTGTTTTCGCAGTTGATTCGGCATCTCTCGGCGCGCTCACACCCGACATCCACCGTCATCCCGCACGTCCGCACGAGGCTTTTTAAGCTCCGTTTAACCCTGGCCTCGGGACCCAGCTAACTTCGATATTTAGTTAGTCAACCCTGCCCGCGAGGCGTCATGAGAAACGACAAGTGGCCCAGTCTCGCCCCAGCTAGGGCCTGCCGACGCTCGAACATATCATCGACTGTGTACATATTCGGGCATACGTCACACTGAC